CCTCTCTTGGTCTCTACATTGAGTGCATGCATCGTGTAGGAAAAAAAACTTTCTCTAAAAACAATGCCAAACTCCAAAACTATGCCCCCAAAAATTTTTTGGAGAGGTTTTTGCTATAGGGCATGTGCGCTCACCAAAAAGACAGAGAGACAGAAAGTGAGAAATCACCCCCCAGGGGGATGGCCACGCTGCAATCCCTTTTCCTCCATTCTCCTCTTGGGATCTTGGGCATGCATGCACACGAGCCCAGTGTGAGTTTTAAGCCACCAGGTCCAGGACTTGAACCACGGTCAACTACATGGGAGTCCAGCGACATAGCAACTATACTAACTGCTGGTCCGTATATGCTAAAATTTTAAAAAGTCTTAAACCTGAAACTTGGTTCAAAGTATTTTTGATACGGGATACTGAACCTGCAGTTGGTTTCTATTCTTTTACCAGTAGTAGAGATAAGGGAGGAAAAATCTTTAGAATAGTTGTTCTTTTACCTTCCTTAGCCTTTTATTAATAAATATTAATATTTAACAATAAATACAGAGGAAAGGCAAGAAACAAGTTGTTGACTCATACTGTGGGTGAGAAACTCAATCCACAATAGAGCCAAAAATCTGTTACTCAGTAGGATGTACTGTGGGGCCTCCAAGAGCCTGTAGTGTGAAAGGCTCATCTTTCTTCTCCCAAAAGTCTCAAACAGCTCAGATGGGAGGCTGAAAGTAATGACTGCTTCTATTTTTGCTGTTCAACCATTTTTCTTGATCTTGTTCTCTGATCCCATACATTCCAGATTGTTCATTGGATTTGTTATAAGATCATTTGTTATAAGAAAGGGAATTTCTTACTCATTGTTTGCCTGAAATCTTGGCTTGTGTTTATCTTATGAAACAAAAAAAAGCATATGCTCCAAAAAATGCCCACAGGTTCAGCTACTAAAGTTTCTTTAAAGATCTTTTGTGCCAGTGGTTGTACAGTGTGCACCATCCTGAAGTTCCAGCTTTCCAGGCTGCTGATCCTTCTGCATTTATATTTTTGGAAGCTGCTGATTTTGTCTGTTGGATATCACTTATCAATGATCA